ACATACATGCTTAGTAAACAAGCATCTGACTAATTTTAAAACATTTTGCTACTCTTTGACTGTGCACTTTCCTTCAGGTTCCCCTCACTTTTACATCTACCTCCACTGCTCTCAACACACACAGGCACTGGTGCACAGACAGACTGCTACTACTCCTTTTTAGAGATTAATTGATCATCAATTTAGTCCCTAATTTGAAGCAAGTCAGGTGGTAAATGGGCCCCTTTTCCTTGATTGTTAGAGAAAACTGGCTTGAGTACATTGATAAATTTTGATTATTTATCAATTATAGGCCAAATGGAACAAAATCTATTAAACAGATTCCGACCCTGATTGGCATAATGGAGTTTGAAAATATCGCTATTGATGATAATTCCCGGCTAATAGTCTTTATCCAGCTGTGCCTGCTTACTGGAATGACAACACAAATTTCATTTTTCATAAAATCGTCTGCGTGTGCATAAGTGAGTGATCTTTCATTAATCAGTCAAATTACTGGAGACCCTTCCCTCCGTGTTGCACTGCTCCATGCTTAGTCAAGGAAGCCAACAGCACTCCGTCATATTTTACATCAATTACCACTCATTCTAATACAGTTCCATCAAGGAGCTTTTAAACAGGAAGCATATGCAGCGGTGGCGGTGGCAACCTGTGCTTTGCATTGCCGTACTTGGTGCCGAATGAGTGATGTCATGTGTTTGGAGTAAAATGACGGTGGTAAAGACAGAGAGAAAGATGGAGGAAAGAAGACTGGAATCATTTGAATAAAACTGAAGGACAGTCTAATAACAAAATGTCCATTCCTTCACTTCCAGCCCTGATGTTAATTTCTTATTTCTCCCAGACTTGGAGCACTGTGCGTATAAGGGGTGGGGTCGCGGCTGGTTTTAAATAGACCTGCCACCTCAGGCTTAATGGAAAAAGCAGCTCTCTGGAAAATAGAAAAAAAGGGAATTAGAGTGTGCCGACACACACACAGGCACACATTTGGCTGCCTCTTCTAGCACTGTATTTTTGAGCCACCATGTAGCCTGTGCCGGGCCGGAGAATGACAAAGGCAAATTACTGTTGTCATTTTATTAAGGGCATCCGCCGCGCTAGGGCAGAAAGGCACTGAGTGGAATGTGCTGGAGGCACTGAAAATAGGCCTGGCCAGAAGAGGCAGCAGGTTCCCTCTAAGGAACAGGGAGGGGGGAAAAAAGAAAAGGAGGGAAAAAAATCAGAGGGAAGTAAAATTATGAAGAACAAAGAAATGACACAATGTATATTTAAACGCAGTGACTTGATCAAAAGTCCATGTAATGAACTATTCTCAGAAATATTTGTTCAGCAGATAGTGACAGTGTGATATTCACATTTTGGAGAAATCAAGGCCTCCATTATTACCATCACAGAGAGTACGCCTGTAATCTGACCCTCACCAAAATACAATCCATACCACATCACCCAAAAGCTATTGGCAGAAAGGAGTTAGAGGACTGGCTTACTGACAAAAGGAGTATATCTGTTGTCAGTAAGGCAGTCATTCCAAAGAATCATAGTTCAATACAAAACAATTTCCTTTTTTAGACATTTTAATTTATAACCTTGTTTTAATTTTTTTGTTTTAATATTTTTCAAGTAAAACATGAGTGGCCAGATTTAAGTATTGTACACGCACCCAGCATGTTGATTAGTGAGTATTGCACTCAAATGTCATAAAACACCATGTCACCGAGTATGAATTGTCCATTTAGCAGGGTGTGACCATTCAGTAGGTCTGAGCATGACTTTGTCTGTCAAAGACATGCTCATATTTTTTTTAAAACAAACTATCGTGCAGTCCATTGTACAGCTGATCGTGCAGTATACAGTCACATAAACCTATATGACAACAATAGTCTTTTGTCATATACTATAATTGTTATTAGTTCAGATGTGGACATTTCTTAGATTTCTTCAATTTGCATAAACAACAAATGCACTTGGTTTGTTAAAAGATGAGCAGCATCCACGCTGCACTGTGTCTAAATAGGGTTCAGGACAATTGTTCCTTAACGCTACGACACGAACAAAATCATTGGGAATAATCAGAAAGGAAAAATCTCACGTATGTGTGGGATCAGCAAGCACAGTACGTCGGTAAATGGCCAAACAAAGAGGGATTAATAAAGTTCTATCTATCTATCTATCTACCGCAACCACATGGAGCATCAAAGAGTCGGTTTGTGGCCATATATTAAAACTTGCAACACAGAGTTTCTCATGCAAAGAACAAAAGCAGGAAACAACACAGAAAAGCAGTTGACTTTGGCAGAAACACTGCAAAGATGAAAACCTTTCAGCGGATGGCATGAAAGCAGAGATTTGATTGCATGCTAATATTGTACAAACTTGATCTGAAAACAAATTCCCATGCCCTTCTCAAAAACTTACCAAAAACTTGATCTGAAAACAAATTCCCATGTCCTTCTCAAAAACTTAGGCCAAAATATTGTTTGCAAAGATATTGTTCAAAACCACTCTATCTGAATTGTATAAGAATGTGTTCTAACACATATACATAAAATAAGGGATGTCACAATACCACAATTTTAGACTACTATGACTACATTTTGAAATGGGACATCCATGACACAGAAACATGGAAATGTACAATGTTGGATATTACAATTCAAATGTAAACAAAGAAAATAATCCATACTTAAACTATAATCTATACTATACTTCATCTATAATCTATACGTATACTTACTCAATACAAACATTGATAAAATTCTCCATCAGATAAAAATGCGTATCTTTGTTGTTTTATGCTTGTCAAGTTAGTAATGTCACATTATATAAACTTGACTTCTGTTTTTGTGAGGCATAAAACCTTTGCAAGATAATATACGAGCAAACATCATGAATTAACTGCAGAAAAAGCGTTGCAGCATATTAGCTTAGCCAAGGGCTAGCATGAGTCGACCAAATTAGCAACTCCTGATAGCATAGCGCATAACATTTTTAACTGCCATAAAATAAACAACAAGAGAAGCTTATTGCACACTCGGAGTAGAATAACTACAAAATCCCATACCAACAAAAACCCACCGAACTGCGATTAATTATGAATGCATAAGACAAAGGAAACCATCAGGGGTAGCAACTAGCTGACCAGGCTACAAGGCCACAACACAGCACCGAGGTAAAGTGTAATTTCTGCACCGAACAGCCTCTGACGTACAGCGAGTTATCATGCTGGCTCCGCTAATTTAGCTCCAACATGCTACTCTCAGCAAGCAGCTTCTTTGGTGTGCTCGATTCGGTAAACGAGGTACAAATGCATCAGACTTACCGTTTAACGATGCCGGTTTTGATCTTAATTTGTCGTATTCTTGGGTCCGCCATGCCTGAGTATGTGGTAATATTGCCTAGTTTATTGTATCACGGTGATGCTGCCGTAGTGCAGGTGGAAGGCAAGGCTGACGAGCTGTTCACGGTGGAATCGATTGTAGGAGAGGATCATCGAGCGCATCGACCAAAACGAGCGTTTGGTTGTTCAAAAGCAGATTTGTTTTTTCAACCATTAAATTTTCCTGGAATAAAATTCAAGAATTCAGTAATTTTGTCTTTACATTCATGTTTTAAGAGCGAGGAAAACAAATGAGCACACCCAAAATGTATGAAATATATATTTATGTTTTTAAATATTTATCTATATATGTCCATATACACACGTTCATACATGTTGTTAATAGAAGTGCAATGTAAAGTCTACTACACTGAACTCTCAAACAGCGCAGCTCAAGTAATTATTCTCTATTTTATGACACACATGTACAATTTATATCATGTTTATTTGTAAATTGTTTGTATTTTATACATCCCTGTGAGGCGTTTATCCCCAGGTTGTTGTTGGGGTCTGTAGGCAGCGTGTCAAAATATGTTTAACCCAGGAATCACTGCAAATAGATGCTCTGTATTACATGTAAATTACTGGGTGTAAATAGGGGGAAAGAATGTTATTCAAAAAGTTGATGAATTGTCACCTAACAGTATAATATAAGTAATGACTATTTATCAGCAGTGTCTGTTTTTAATATCAACAGAAAGTACTTTACAGGTCAAGTGAGCACTGTGTCATTAACACACAATCTTTTATAATTATTAGAGAGCTGTGAGAGCTGTGTTATATAAACAATTTTAAGACGATAAATGACCAACGCCAGTGACTACATAAAATTTTGCTGTCAAATAAATATCTCCCATCTTTATAATGTAAGAGTCCACGTATCAAAAGGTCAAGTTAATATAAGCCATCAATTGTGGATTGGCTGTGTTGATTTTATCTCTTTCAAACACACAACTCCATTAGAAAATGCGGTGGGAAAAATTATACACAATATATTTAATTTGACCAAAAAACATAAATGTGTATCTGGACAGTTGTACTTTTGATGAGCTCAATAAAAGTACATTCTCCGTACACTTGAATATGTTACTGTTGCTGGTTAGTTCTTATGTTTTAAATGCATCAGTAGTGTGTTTGAAAAGAGTAAATACATTTTTTTCACGGTATTAATATGGCTTTTCACTTTTAGTTTTTAAACATATTGAGCTCCACGTACACATAAATATGTGCCACTGTATGAGATTACTTTTTATATATAAAATGAGAAATAAGAAAATTCATCCATTCACACAATAAATCACTTAGGGCAAACAATTGACATGGCTTCTAAAGCAATGTTCCAAGTACGACGCTCATTCGATATCATTTGAATTTTTGTACATCTGATATCGACCCGTGTGATCTGTGAATAAAATAATCAATTTCGTAGGGTTTTCAAGGATTCTTTGTTTATACAAGAGAAAATGTAATAGCTGCTGCAGCATTAAAAGTTTGACAGTTGACATTCTGATACATTTGCCATTCATACAGGACATCAGTGGTATGACAGTGGTTTGAGTGCTGATCATAACCATTAACTGACAATGAGGAAATTTGCATTTTTTTAATAATCTATTCCTGAATCCCACATGTTTAAATGTGTTCACACTCACAACAGTAGTTGTGTTTTATTAGTTAAAGCATAAAATGTTTTTGTTGTTGCTGTCAGAATACGAAGTAGTATAAAAAGTTCTAATACCAAAGTTATAATTTAAAATGTGTCTGATTTTTTTAAAAAACAACCTTTCTGAAAAATCTTGAATCTTAAAAGACATAGCTATTAGCCTTTCTATTGTGTATCATCAACAGCAAATTGAATAATTTGTCAAAGTCATACTTTTGAAAATGCAGACATTTCCTGATAAGTGTAGCAACGAGGATATACAAACAGATTTACAGGTCAGTAGATCTGCAGCATGGATAAACCGAAAGGATAATTCAGATGGACGTGGCTGAGGAGGAAAATGTTAATGGTGACTTTTTATTGGTTCACATAAGAAAAGTATCATCACTATCACTATCATCACCCAAGCAAGCTGGAACGCTGGAGCATCATCAGCCATGGAGCTCTGGAGCATCTCTTCATACAATCTACGTGGACAATGACAGCAGAAACACAACGCCATAATAAACACTACACACAGCTGCCTGCTTCACCTTTAAGTGGGTCTTTAAAACAACCTCCTGACAGGTTACATACGTCTGGGACGAGTGTCTGTGAAGCATGTGTGTTTTTAAATAATCACTCCACCTTCAAACATTTACTCCACATCTGCAATATTATTTATCCACAATACGTATGCACTATGTATGCAACAGCAGTATTTTGTGAACTGACAATTAAGGCTGATGCTTGACAGGCTTTATGGGTAATATATTGTCAGCTGGCAGTTTTACTACTTGTCTTTTACTATATTTTAAATCAGCGTAGCTGGTTCATTTTTTATCTTTATTGAAGATCATTTCCCCATCTGCACAAGAGGAAAACAACCACCACATTTTATTACATGTTTTAATACTGCATCAATGTTTAAATCCTTGGAGATTACGCACATACATTACATTTTTCCCCAACTGATGTGGCACAACAGTAGGATTCCTTTTCGGATTATTTTTCTTTACACATTTCCTTCCTTTCAAAATTCAAACCATCTTCAGATTCTGCATTTGCAGGGTAAATAAATGATCAATAAACCGGTAGGATTATAACAACAACAATAATCAGTCAAATGATAAAAGCAGTGCTAATAACAGCACTGACACAATTACTTTGAATTTAAAATAAATAAATAATTATCATTAATAATAATGACACTATTATTATTAATAATAAATTAATAATAATGACACTATTATTATTATTAATAACAAGAACAAAAACAACAACAATAATAATAATAATAATTATTATTATTATTGTTGTTGTTGTTATTATTGTGAACACTGACTTGTATGATAGCAACATGCAGGTGCAGGAATCTATTCCAGCTGTTATTTATTTAAATCCAACCGAGACTAAAGGGTTTAACAAAGGCTGACAGGAGCTGATCAGTTCCCTCGCAAACCGGAACCATCTAATGATGTTAGATTTTCAAATCGGTCATACGTCAGTGCAAGTCATTATTTAAAAAAAAAAAACCCTAAAATATAACACGAAAAAAAATGCATTAGCTTGTCCAGTATATATTTTTCTTCTTGAACACACATCAGCACACGCGAACAAAGAGTGATGGAGCTCCACAGGCCTGCATGCATCAGTGCACGGCAGCGTCACAGAAATCCTTTATCAGGGTGTGAGCAGTGGGAAAACCCTGGGCTCCTTCCTCCTGCAGCTTCATGGCCGTTGATTATTGGTATTTTCCGAGTTTTCCAAACTAATAAGTGGCACTATCAACCATTTGGAAGCGCTGTGAGAGTACAGACGGGCTGCTGCACTTAATTGATATTGAGCGAGGCTGTGGTAGGCGCGGACGGGGCCGCTGCTGGCTAATTTGCAGTTTAATCAGCGATTGTAATGAGAGCCGCTGATTAGCACAGGGTGGAAATAAAAGAGAGTTACAAGGAACGTCTGTCAGAGTCCACTGATAATTCACTGCTAATTGTAATGATTAGAGCAAACTGGATGACTTTGGACTTTTCTAACGCTGCTGCCTTCACCATGTCTCCGCATGCACGCATTCAACGGTCACATGTGAGCTCGTCTGTTCACGTCACAGATACCACGCGTGTATTAGATATTTGTGTGGTTGCAAATGCCTGTGTGAGCATGTAGCTTAGCATCCCTCCTGTGGTGTCTACAACAAAAACAACGAAGAGTGAAAGATTCTGACTGACTGACTGATATTCACGTGTTTTCAGAAAGCTTTAGCTATTTTTAGTCCTATTTTGAAGTAATTTATGAGCGTTTTACATTTTGAACATTTTTCATAATTACTTTAAGATACTTTTTTTTAAATGTCAGGTTAATTTTGGCTGTTTTTAGCTTTGCTATGTCTGGCTAAAAAAGTAATCCTTTAAATTTTTGTTGCCAAACACTGTTATCTTGTGGCTAATAACAACAATATCTATCCTATAAAAATAGTTACCTTTTACCTTGTGGATTTTTAAAATATTTTTTAACATTTAACAATTTCTTTCACCATCCCATAGCTAGCTTCTTGGCTAACGTTTTGCTACATTTATGACTTGGAGCACACTAGTTATTTTATTCTCTTTATCTTTTCAAAGACAAAAAAAAATCAAACATATTTTGGCCTATATTACTTTTGTTCATTTATTTTAGCAAACATTTAAACTATTCTTTAAAAACAATTACCTGTGATTTGACTAATATTTAGCTATTTTTGTAGTTATTCTTTAGAGTTAGATTTAGGAATTGTTTTATAAATTTGTTTTGTTGTTTTGCTGTATTTTAGGATAACTTGGAAATTTTGATACATTATATTTGGGCAATTTAAAATTACTACAGTATAAACTGATACAGGATATAAATCTAGATAAATATTAGTTTGCCAATACACATTTTCAGCATGCTTTGTCCTTCAGGGCTAAGTCTTTAACGGTGGTAATATTACATCTCCTAGTACTACAGTAGCCTAGACCTTGTTAATTTGTTTCCCTGTTCCTTTCTCATCTTTACTTTATTTTATTTATTTCTTTTTTTAAGGAAATTACAGGAAAACAACGGTTCTGTCTAAACCATTAGTCTTCAAGTGGACTAAAGTCTGACCCTGTAATGTGAATGGTGGTTCAGTTGAGAATAGAATCAATCAAAGTGGTTAAGGTTGGAAAGAATATCTGAATTAATGTGAGTCGATGCAGTGGTCTTTATATCAGATATTATTTCACTTTGGCAATTTCCTGCATCCCGCAAAAATACAATCTAAAATCTGTGGATGTGTGTATCAGAAAGAGAGAGAGAGAGAGAGAGTGGTTAATTTAAACGGTTATTATTATATGTGTGTGTTTGTGTGTGTGTGTGTGTCTGGCGAGGGGGTTGTTGTTGATGGACTCAGCTACACTGGTGAGAATGAGATGTATTTCTGGAGACGCGCCTTGGCCAATGCTAGA